GTGCTGCGCAGCCCTGGGGTGGGTGGGCTGGCGGCGAGGCACGGGGCTCTGGCCTCCCTCCACGCTGAATCCTCTGCCCCCTTCCCCAGAGCTGGGCATTTCCTTCCACAAGCTGCTGTGGGGACTTTTGTTCCCCTCCTCAAAAGTCTGTGCCATCTTCTCCCACCCCCTCCCGGGCAGAAGGCGGGGCTGACCCCAGGGCTGGGAGAGGGGAGGGGACTGCAGGGCAGATGGGCTCCTGGGCCCCCAGGGGGCCGCCTGGGCTGCTGGTCTCCGAACAGGGACACTGGGCATTCTCCGTGATGGCAGGGCCTCTGTCTGAAAGCACAGCCCCCCTCGCCCTTCCCCTTCCCCCCCCACCGCTCCCTGTCATTGGCATTAATCTGGGCACCAGCTAGTTCCATAGCAGTGACTTCCCTCACCACTCATCTCGGCCTTGCGTTTTCTTCCTGACACTGTCGCCCCTCCTCTCAGGAGACACTGCCCAGGACCTCCAGGGCCACCTGGCAGGAGGCTGGATAAGGCAGCAGGGCCGGGAGCCTCTGCCTTCCACAGGGTGGGGGGACAGACAGGCCAAGTGACTCTCAGCTTGCTAACCTCTGTGGCCAGTGTGGGAGTGGCTGGTTATGGGCGCTTGGCTGGTGGCGGCCGCGGCATCCCTTAATTTATTTCTCTGCTGTTTTTCTGTTCTTGAGAAATTAGGGGAGGGGTCCTGCACAGAGGCTGCCCCTACCCTCACCTGAGTTGTACATTTTTTTGTGATGGGTTTTATTTTTTATTTTATTATTTTATTATTTTTTTTTTTTTGATTTATGACGACTCCACCCTTACTCATCCCCCCCACTCCCAGGCCAGGCTCCATGGCAAGTCGAGCCCTTGGGTCCCAGGAAGGGCCCTTGCCAACCTCAGCCCTCCTGCCCCAAGCCCAACCGGGCTCTGCTCGACCAAGGGCTCCCCCTCCTACCTTCCCTCCCCCCTCCTGCCCTATGGAACAGTCCGGGTGCTCCGAGGGGCTGGGAGGGCATGGCTTGGCTCCCAAAGGGGGTGGTGGCCGGGGGGCTCCCAGGCAAGGTGGCCCCTCTCCACCCAGCCCCTCCCCCCCCCCGCACTTCGTTTCTCCTCTGATCAAACACGTAATAAAGAGAATGTTTGGAATCTGAGTTGCTGCCTCCTCTTCCTTTTCCTAACCGGGCAGGGACCCAGACCCCATGGGCAAGATGTGGCCCAGCCACCATCCTTGCAGGAGAGAGTGGATTCCTGTCTGGGGCCAGGGAGATGCCAGCGCTGGGCAGGCGGGTGCACCCTCCCACCCTCATGGTACAGGAAGCAACTGCCCAGGGTTCGACTCAGTGAGCTTGGAAGATTTTATTTCTTTTTTAAAAACATTGAAAAATAAACCCATGTCTGCATGTGTCACCGACCCTTTCTCTGAGCTTTTGGGCGGTGGGCATAGTGGGCACCCTCAGAGCCCATGGGAGAGCTGCCCCTCCAAGCCTCTGCTGCTGTCAAGCCCCAGGGGATCGCTCTTCCCACCTTCCCCCTTCGGCCCCTTCCCTATCTCCCCCCAGACTTTATTGCTAAAAGAAAGGAAAGAGGAAGAACAGCCAATAGTCCAAACTGTCCTCTCCCCCACCCCACAAGCTACTGTTACTACCCCCTCCACGCAAAGGGCAGGGCTCAAATGCCAAACCCCAGCAGACTAGGAGGCAGCCATTCCAGTCCCATCCAGGAAGAGAAAGTACCCTCAGGCCAGCTCGGAAGGCCCCTTGAGTCCCAGCGCCTGGCTGGGGTGGGGACAGAGATGGGCTCAGCTGCCAGAAACGGGCAGAACCCACAGGTCCAGGCTATGCCCGTCAGCAGCTCTGGGTCTTCGAAAGACCTGGCAAGATCTAGTCCCTTTTGTCCTCAGTGGAGCCAGAGGTGCCTGAAAATGTCCAGCAAAGGAGTTCTGGAGCCTCTGGTTGGTAGAGGGCCTCGGGGCTCAGAGTGAGGGTGCCGGAGGCTCCAGAGGGGCTCCGATCAGGGTAGGTGGGGGCTGAGGGCCCGGGCGGGCACTGTGGCGGGAGGCAGCCAGGGCAGGGCGGATGAGAGGCGGTGGGGGCTGGTTGGGGGCCAGCCGAGGCTGGAGGAAGCGGCCCTGCTGTAGTGGGGGTGGCTGGCGAAGTAGGGTGGGAGCCGTGGGCAAAGGTGGCCTCAGCAATGGGGGCGGCTGGGACAGCGAGGTGGGAGGTGGAGGGGGTGGGGGTGCAGGGGGCACCGATCGGGGCACAGATGTCGAGACGGATGTAATCTGGACCTGAGAGGAGAGAGAAGAGTGAGAAACCAGGCTCCACCACACCGTCAGCCCAGCCTAAGGACGGAGGCGGTTCCTCTCCTCTCTTCTCTGAAGGGTTTCTCTCACCCCGTCTCACCTCATCATCTTCCTCTAGGGCTGGGGCTGGCAAGGGAGCCCCTCTCCTAGCCTCCTCCATGGGGACCGGGGCTCCAGGGGCCCCATCCTGCTCGGCCTCCCATTCCTGCAGCACCTCCTCCAGATTGAAGCGGCGCCGGTAGCTCACAAAGAAGGTCTTCACCTGGGTCAGAGTCTTGTTCCCAATCACCTCTGCAATAGCCCCAAAGTCTTTGCCATACCTACGGATGGCTGCAAGGGTCAAAAGGGCAGCAGAGTGTGAATACCCCCTTAAAACTAGTTACTTCCTGATCTTTCCCCTCTGCCCCAGCTCCTTGGAAGGTGGGGAGGTTCTTGGGGCCCTCTGTCCTCCTCACAGTCTAACCCACCTTGTACGGCCAGAAGCTGCTCATCTGTGGTCCAGCGGGAGTTGAACTTGGTGTTGGCCTGGAGAGCAAGGAATATATCTTTTATACTCAAAAACATGTTCCCAGCAGAACCCTTTCTGCTCCGCCTCTAGAAAGAACCCCTCCTCGCACCCCAACTCAAAGAGCGGGTCTACCTCAGGGGGGCGGAGTGGATCGATGCCGCCCTCCAGGGCTTGACGGAGGCTGCTATTGGTCTGCTTCATGCTTTGCACCTGGGGAGGCCAGGAAATAAAGGACCATCGCACCGTCCGTGCCAGGGAGGCCATCAGTACCAGCCCTCACCAGGACCCTACTTCTTCTGCAGGCACCGGTGCCACTTCCCAGCAAAACTCTTTGCCGCCCACCGTCTAGCTCATTTTGCCCTCACAGTAGGGAAGACACTATGGTTCGCCCCTTTTCATAGACCATTTTTTTAAAGGCCCAGAAAGTAATTCCAAGTCACCCAGAAGCCCAGAGGACAGGGCAGGGGCAGAGGCAGGCTTGGCACCTGCACCATCTCCCTTATACCTCAGCTGACCCAGTCACAGTTCCCAGAAGCTGACTGCCTCCTCCACACGGCCCCTTCTTTTCTTGGTGCCCTACCTGGCGCTTAAGGGAGATGAGCTGGGAGTCAAGGCCTCGAAGCGTGAGGCTGGCAAGGTCCGGGCTTCCTGACACGGCAGTGAGGCCCTCCGGGCTCAGGTACATGCCCTTGGGCGGGCGCCGCCGGGTACGAAGCGGGTGGTGGCGGTACTGAGACCCCTGGGCCTCCTTCTTCCCAGGGCCTGGGCGGGCATTCAAGGGCCGAGAGGGCAGAGGCTGCCAGAGGAAGGAGAAGGGGCGGGTGGGGCAGAGCCCAAAGAGCGGGCGGATGGGCGGGCTGGTGGGCCGATCAGCTCTGGGCCCTCACCTCTCTTTTGGGGTCTCCAGCATCTGGCTCTCCCTCACTCACGGCTCCTCGTCCCTCTTCAAGCTCATCACTGCCGACACAGGGGCCAGGGAAGGAGTGAGGCAGGGGCATGGCCCCCCAGGAGCTTGGCTTACCCCCGCCCACTTGGCTCGTCCCTGGACGCCCACCTCTCTTCTTTGTCCTTTCGGCCCCCCAGCCGCCGAGCCTGTCTGTCCATCACGCTGGTCCGGCTGCGAGTCTTCTTCCAAGAGTAGTAATACTTCACCAGGCTGGGGATCAGCTTGTCGGGCAGCTGGAGGGGCAACGCCAGAGGCTGGGGCCACCCGAGAGTCTGGGCCCCGGGCAGGCTCGTCAGAAAGGAGGGGCTGAGGAGCAACGGCGGGGGTGGAGGGCTTTACCATCTGTTGGATCCGCTGGAAGCACTTGCCGTGGAAGCCAAAGGCCTGTTCAAACAGCACCTTGTCCTCTACGGTCCACTCGTCGGGGAACGGGGTGAAGTTGGCCAAATCGGCCAGTGACTTCTCCACGTCGTGCTTATGCCACAGGAGCATGCCCAGCGCCTGGCCCGCGAAAGGGGACAGCTCAGGCTCAGCCGCCCCCGGGACTGTCCGGCCCCCACCCCAAATCCCTGCAGGGCCAAGGCTCACCTGCTCGATGTTGTAGCCATGCTTCTCCTTGGCCATGGCAATGTACTTGTCAACTGCAAGGGGTGGGAGGGGTCGGATCTTGGAGGAGGGGTTGTAACTCCTGACCCAGGCCCACCCAGAGAGGGCTACCCTCCCCAGTGTCCACCTGAGCTCCAGGGTAGGGGGTTGAACTCACACCTCAGCCTCCAGCCCCCTTCTGAGAAGAGCTGGCCGCTGGCTGGCATGAGGCAAAGGCCCCAGCTCCCAGGGATGTGCATGAACCTGGGGGTCCCACCCACTCACGCTTGGCATCCGACACACAGTGGTTGGGCGACCACACCAGCATCCCCTTCAGCTCCTTGTTGCTGTAGCGTGCAGGGCTCTCTGGAAGGCAAAGGAGAAGAGGAGGGAAGACACTCAGATCAGCCTGGTGACAGTGGCCAGGACCCATGGCCAGAGGGTGGCCTGTGAGGTGAGGCCCAGAAGGGAGGGAGGGGCAGAGACCCAGACAGGAAAGCAGAGCAGGAAAACTAACCATGCCACGGGGCCACCCACCCCCGCCTGCCTGTCCTTCCAGTGAGCGCCAGCCAAGGGCTCCCCCAGGTGGGGCTCGGGGCCAAGCCATGGGCCCTGCACTGCCCTCC